CAGGAGGGTGAAACAATCCTTCATCGGCTTGTGGCCAGGCAATGAGGTCTCCTCTTGCGTGATGAAGGTACGCTTTGGCATCCTCTTCCAGAAGATCCCAGTCTCGCCGCAGTTGAAGACCTGCTGAGGAAGGTAGCCCTCTGAAACAATGACCTCTAGGAACTCAGTAGCAAATTCGGAACCTGCAGCCTCTCCATGCCTGACCACGCTGTGGATGCCAGATCTGGTCTTAAATCTTTCAAACCACCCCCTGCTGGCCTTGAAGCCCTCTGCATTGGCTGACGTTTCTTGCTGTTGGTTGAGGAGGTCAGCGTGCAAGGCCTTGGCTTTTTCGCAGATGATCGCCTTGGTCACTGTGTCCCATGCATGCTGCTTCTGTTCAATCCTGAGCAGGAGCAACTTTTCAACCTCCTCCAGAACAGGTGGCTGTTGCTTGAAGACACTGGTGACTCCCTTGGCTGCATCTCTCCCAGTTATCTTCTCTTTCATCTTTAGGATGGTAGCAATTGTGGATGCACTCCTTCCATACTCTTTGGCGAGGTCAGTCAATTGCATTCCAATTTCATGCTTTCTGATGATTTCTTTCTTGACCTCGAGCAGAATCGTTTCCTTCTTCCTCTTGTTATGGGCAAATGCTAATATTACAAGTTTTAGAAGGAAATGTTGTATTTCTTAAACTGTGTACTTTGTCTTTAAAAGATATTACAAACTGACAAGGTGTTAGAAATGTTTTTTCATGGATGTTTCTTTAAGCAATAACCTCAGTGCATAATATGTTTGCGCCATTTTGTCCCAGACGAATTACAATAACAATAATGCATAAACAAGCTTCAAGGCTATTCTACAACTCTTTCAGTACACAATATACTGTGGTAACCCCAAGTTAATGGAACTTCCCCAAATCCGGGAATCTCCCACGACTGTGCACTTACGACTTAGTATAAACAACAGATAAGCTATTCAGACTTTAAGATGCCATCTTGAACTAAGTCGGGAAAATTTCCATGACGTATACACCCTTTAGTTATGACCTTGTATGTTTGCCAAATTAAGGGAGGTCCTAAAATGAATAAAGTAAAAGAAGTGTTACTTTTTCATATATGAACTACAGTAACTCTAAAATGGAGACACCTAAGGTATAAATAGGTGTACTTTTAAATGTTAAGACACAGAGGAGAGACTTGGAGACAGACGCTGCTCCATCTTAAAATGACAGAGAGGCTGAAATGACATGTTCAGAAGGGTATGTTAACCTATTAATGATATTTGCAAGCATGTAATTTAATCTTATAAACTCTGCTATATGGATTTTATATGTCTATATTTATATTTTTATAAAATAAATATCAAAAAGACAAAACGTTATTGCTTCCAAGACAATCCTTATTTTATATTGTATTCTCAATTATTTATATATGTTAAATAGAGGATCTCTTACTAACTATATACAATTATGGCTAAGATATCTGTATGGTAAGTTCTATGCTTTAAGACATTATAGTGGTAAATAAGGGAACCACCTGCGGTTACACTCTTCCCAGCTTTCGCTGCTTTCTTGGGTGCCATGACACCACAGTCACTAAGTGAGCAGAAAACTTTAAAAAATGCTTTACAACCACATGAGCTGGCATGGAATCCACCCCACAATGCAAAACACACAGTAACAGGCATGCACAACACATGAGCTGGCATGGAAACCACAGTAAAAGCCATGCACAGCACATGAGCTTGCATGTAAACCACCCCACAATGCAGAACACACAGTAAAAGCCATGCAAACAACTAGGCTCACCTCCCTACCTTTCCACCTCTTGAGAAACACACCAAAAAGTCCTTTTTGGAGCAAATGGCTCCAAAAGGCTCCAAAACTTGCTGCAAAAACCTATCCAACACCTCCACGCTCACGTGCTACCTAGACTTCAGTATGCAGGGGGGTGGTGGGAAACTTGCTTCGTATTTCGAAAAAAAATTGTAAACTTTTTTTTTTTTAAATGGATTTCCATTCGTAAATGGAATTTTTTGTTTACCGAGGCTTTCGTTAACCCCCATGGATCAGGTTTGTACTGGGGCCCCAGGACTGTGTGTACGCTACTGACTTTATATTGAAACTCTAAAGCACATCATCTCATATTACATTATATCAAAGAACATTTATTATATATCAAGACACATGATGTACATAACACAATTATCCTTGCTATCAGTTAAGTGACTGTTTCATTTAATTGAACAATTTACATAGCAGATCTGAACCTCAAAGGTTCCACAGATATGTATCAGACATCGCATAATATCTCAGTTAATGCATTCAATGTCGCTAACCCCTTCACTGGGTGAAATATGCATGCTCAGGGTGAGCCTTTTTTTACCGACCCCCTCCATACTACAGTAACCAAGGCCACCATCTTGCCGGAGAGTAGATTTTTAGGAGTTACCTTTCCTTCTGATCTAATGTCTCGCATTAAAAAGGGCTATGCTGAAGATCCAGTTTTTCGGGATCCTCCTTGTGATCTTCATATGACCATGCTTAATGGGTTTTGGATTTTTCAACAACGTCTGTTTGTTCCAGAATCAGTGCGACTGGATGTTTTACGTCTCTACCATGACTCAAAACCAGCAGGTCATCCAGGAATCCGAAAGACACAAGAACTACTTTCCCGATCCTTTTGGTGGCCTAAATATTATGAGGATGTTAAGAAGTATGTGTCCTCTTTTGATGTATGTGCCAGACATAAGACTCCTCGCTCATCCCCTGTTGGCTTGCTTCAGCCTCTTCCGATTCCTTATCGTCCCTGGGGATCTATATCCATGGACTTTATTGTGGAACTACCTCCCTCTAAGGAACACACTGCCATTCTTGTTGTTGTGGACCGGTTAACTAAAATGAGTCATTTCATACCAGCTCGTGGTCTCCCTTCAGCTAAACAGACTGCTGACCTAGTTATTCAGGAAATATTTCACTTGCATGAAGTCCCTGATGAAGTAATTTCTGACAGGGGAGTGCAGTTTACATCTCATTTTTGGAAATATTTTTGTTCTATTCTAGGTATTAATGTAAATCTGTCGTCAGCTTTTCATCCACAAAGTAATGGACAGACTGAGCAAACCAACCAGACTTTAGAACAATATTTGCGGTGCTATATTAGTTACTTGCAGGATGACAGGCTGGATTTTCTACCCATGGCGGAGTTTCCCTATAACAATGCCCAACACTGCTCCACTTCTCTGAGCCCATTTTTTGCAAATTATGGTTACCATCCAACCTTTCTAGTGAGTTTCCCCAATTACTACTTCCATTCCTGCAGTCACTGACCGGCTAACCGCCTTACGAGATTCCCAGGAACTGTTGAAGGAGACTCTTTTGGAGGCTCAGGAATGTTACAAAAGAGCTGCTGATAGGCATAGAAAGGAGGCCCCAGTTTATCATGTTGGTGACAAGGTTTGGCTGTCAACAAAGAATCTCAAGCTTAGGATTCCTTCTCATAAATTGGGTCAAAAGTTCATGGGACCTTTTGAGATCATCGCTCAGATCAATGCTGTCTGCAACTTCCGGATTCCATGAAAATACATCCGGTGTTTCACGTTGCATTGCTTAAACCTTTTCATGAAAATACTGCCCCACCACCAGTCCTCGTGGATGGTGAAGATGAATACGATGTGGAAAAAATTCTTGACTCCAGGATCTTCCGCAACAAGCTTCAATATTTGGTTCATTGGAAAGGCTATGGTGAGGAGGATAGATCATGGGAACCAGTGGACAATATTCACACTCCTGATTTTCTTTCTACGGTCTTTCTACGCACAGTACCCTGCCTGTAGAGGTGGGGGTAATGTGAGGAACTGACTCTGCTGAGTTTCGAACCCTGGTTTACATGCTGCTAAACATCTTCCGTACCAGTACACCAGCCTGCCTTTTGCAAATTTACCTGAGATCTGATAACCTTGACTCTACAAGCAATGATATCAGTGACAACTCTCTTCAGCTGTGTCTGGTTCTTGGCCTATATAAGCCACTTCCTGTCTCTGTACCTTTGCCAGATTATTGTGGTTCCTATACTCTCTAATCAAGCTTGTTCCTGTTTCTCCTACCTGTTGCTGAATTTGGACCATTTTGACTTTGCTGCTTCTCCTTCCCACTGACATCGGCTTGCCTCACTACAATTAGCATCTTTCTGTTCCAGTCTGTCATCTCTGCTAAAGACCAGAAGGCCACTCAAGGCTCAGGGGCTCAACCACCTGGGTAACGAGTGGCTACCTCTGGCAGAAAACATTGCTGATCTGGCTACTGGACTCCAAAACTTTGTAACATCAATATTATTACACTAGCTGTTAATAGAGACAGTTGCTGATGTTATTTACGGACAAATCTGTAACCCTTACTCACCTCACAAAAAATATCTCTTAATATCATACTAAATAAAAGCATAGTGTGCCAAACATATTGATTCCATCTATAATGAAAATTTAAAAATCTGAACTATGCAATGCAAAAATGTCTCCCACTAGAAGAATGGAAGCTGGTGTGTTCTAACTGAAACAATATTAGAATGCTTCTGTCACAGTACTCCGTTTACAACTACAGATATTATTCAGAATGTTGTTTAGATCAGAATCAAGATAATCAAGATATTTACAGGTAATTTCAACCAGATAACACATTTCTATTTATACTGTTACAATATGGTATAGGGCAATATGCTAGAGACTCACTGCTTTAGTATTTTTGTCAAAAAGTAAAGTTGAACTAAGTGGGTAATATGGACTTAACCCAATATAGGCAATATTGAAATTATAGAGAAAAAAAAAAAAAACACAATTTGAGAAATGGTCCCAGGTAAAAAGGCCGGGCATACCAGCTCTCAAAAGATTACCCACATAAGAAATTGGAAAATCAACTTGATTGGTATAAAAGCATGAATTCTCTTTATTAACACTAATCAAATATAAACAAACATAGAGTGAAAAACCTAAAGTGAGTAAAACGTAAATGTGAAAATGTGATCCCATATATAAATCCCCTTAAATACATGCAACTATGTATGCAACTATGAGAACATAGTTTCATATATTTAAGGGGATTTATATATGGGATGAGCCTGGGAGGATACTTAGTTTTCCCTTTTTATCATCACATTTTCACATTCATGTTTTACTCACTTTAAAGGGATACTGTAGTGTCAGGAATACAAAGCTGTATAGAAAATAGATGGTAAGTGGGGTAAAGTGCAAAAAGACGTGCAGGCAGGCTACTTTATAAAGGGATCACTCCCAAATCCCACAGAAACAGTAGATACAAAAAGGTATATAAATATACAGGTGAGGGTGACACTATCACAAATATGTGGATAATAATTACCACTCGGTCGGCAGAGATGACATGTAAAAAGAAGCATAAAAATACATAGTGAAGTATTTAAAGGACCACTCTAGGCACCCAGACCACTTCAGCTTAATGAAGTGGTCTGGGTGCCTGGTCCTTCTAGGGTTAACCCATTTTTTCATAAACATAGCAGTTTTCAGAGAAACTGCTATGTTTATGAATGGGTTAAGCCTTCCCCCTAATCCTCTAGTGGCTGTCTCATTGACAGCCACTAGAGGCGCTTGCGTGCTTCTCACTGTGATTTTCACAGTGAGAGCACGGAAGCGTCCATAGGAAAGCATTGTGAATGCTTTCCTATGCGACCGGCTGAATGCGCGCGCAGCTCTTGCCGCGTGTGCGCATTCAGCCCAGGAGGAGGAACGGAGGAGGAGAGGAGGCAGAGAGCTCCCCGCCCAGCGCTGAAAAAAGGTAAGTTTTTAACCCTTTCCCCCTTCCAGAGCCGGGCGGGAGGGGGACCTTGAGCGTGGGGGCACCCTCAGGGCACTATAGTGCCAGGAAAACGAGTATGTTTTCCTGGCACTATAGTGGTCCTTTAATGGTTAAAAAACAGATATTAATAACAGTCAAATCAAACTCAGAAGAGAAGTGGCACAAACAGAAATATTTCCAATTTGTGGAATAGAACTTTAAAGCCTCAAAGGGGGGCTTTCTCCCCAGTCTCTGGAAAGAGCTGTTGGTACCTCTACAAATCAGTCCAGTAGTGGATGGTGGTGAGGTAGATCTTAGCCAGGCTTCCCAATACCAGCTTCCTTCCTTGAGGTAAATAGCTGACGTGTTTCGTCCGTTTGGACTTTTTCAAGAGCTTGGTGTACTCTTCTGATCCGGCGTGTACTAATACGTTGCGCGGCTAATTACCGTATATACTCGAGTATAAGCAGAGTTTTTCAGCACATTTTTTATGCTGAAAAAGCCCCCCTCGGCTTATACTCGAGTCAGGGTCTGTATTATGGCAACTTACATTGCCATAATACAGACCAGGACCGCCGGGCTCATTACAAGCCCAGCGGTCCTGGGAAGGCTGGCATAAAGCTGTTACTTACCTTTGCAGCAGCTCCGTTCATTTCCCAGTGTAAATAGCACACAGACCGCGAGATTTACACTGGGAGATAAATGGAGCTGCTGCAAAGGTAAGAAACAGCTTGCTACCGGCCCCCCCCCACTGCTCAGCCCATACCACTGGACCACCAGGGAATTCCATAACCCCCCTCCCTGACCAGATAACAAGCAGGGAGGGGGGGACAAAAAATAAATAAATAAACAATGAAATATTAAAATAATAAAAATATTATAATAAAATAATAAAAATATTAAAATAATAAAAATGCCCCCCCATCCAGTTTACACACTACACAAACACCCACACACACACACACTCTGCATCATATACACAAACACACTGCATTATATACACACACACTGCATTCATACAAACACACACTGCATTCACACAAACACACACTCTGCATTCATTATATACAAACACTACACAAACACACACACACACACTCTGCATTCATTATATACACACACTGTAAATAAATATTTAAATAATGTAATTTTATTGGGATCCAATTTTATTTAGAAATTTACCAGTAGCTGCTGCATTTCCCACCCTAGGCTTATACGCGAGTCTATACGGTATCAGCGTGCGCATGCGCAGACCGCAGGAGACAGACAACGTCAGAATGTTCTCGTCTAACCCACCATGCATGTGTTTGCTGTTCAGCCTGTTTGACTGTTATTAATATCTGTTTTTTAACCATTAAATACTTCACTATGTATTTTTATGCTTCTTTTTACATGTCATCTCTGCCGACTGAGTGGTAATTATTATCCACATATTTGTGATAGTGGTGCCCTCACCTGTATATTTATATACCTTTTATATATACAAAGCTGTATTCCTGGCACTACCGATCCCTCTGCCTCCCCCTCCTTCGCAACCCTCCCCGGTAAATAAAGGGTTACTTACCTGATCCCTGCGTCGAAGCTCCATCCCATCACTAGCGGGGTCTAATACGCATGCTCAGCAAATGGCGCGCGCATTAGGAAAAATCTGTCGCTGGAGGTCCTCATGCAGAGCGTGAGAACGTCCAGCGTCAGATAACGGACCAAGTCGGTTACGATTCCAGAAGCACCACTGAGGGCAGACTTAGTGCTGAAATGTTCTCTGGAACTGCAATGTTTTAACATTGCAGCACTAGGTGCAAAAGGGACACAGCACCCAGACCGCTTCAATAGGCTGAAGTGGTCTGGGTGCCTACAGTGTCCCTTTAAGTTTTTCACTATGTTTGTTTATATTTGATTAGTGTTAACAGAGTCTTAGAATTTGTGCTTTTATACCAATTCAGTTGGTTTTCCAATTTTTTATGGGGGTAATCTTTTGAGAGCTGGTATCCCTGGCCTTTTTACCTGGGACCATTTCTCAAATAGTTTTTTTTTCTAATTTCAACTTTAAAATTTTGTACAACACATGTTTTCTCTACTCTCTCCCTCCCTTCTTTGCTCTTCCTGACTGTAAATACCTTCATATAACTGTTCCGTCTCCATCTCTGTTCTTCAGGCCTTACCTCACATTTAAAGAAAAAACAATACTGAAGCTCTGCATTTTTTTCTCAGCACTACCCTAAATATATAGCAAGCTCCTCCAGCTGTTTGAGATTCTCACTCAATTACCTCTTCATTCCCTTTGTATTTTACAAATAGCTGCAACTCTCTGTTAACTTCTTTTAGCCATCACTTCCAAATTCCCCCGCTACCGCTTGTCTCAAATACCCATTGTATCTTTTAGATTGTAAGCTCACGGGCTATCTAGCTAAGCACTTTGTATAAAAGAGCTTCTATGGCTAGATCTCTACCTTTTGTATTTGACTCTGCATATTGTACGTTCTCCACTAATTGTACAGCGCTGCGGAATTTGTTGGTGCTATATAAATACCAGTGATAAATATAAATTTTCTCAGATATTAAAATTCACATACATAGTTAAAAAAACAAAACATTTTAAATCAAAGTCCACAACTTCAGTTTTTAACCGTCCCTCAGAAGCCCAATAATCCATATTACCTCCCACTATGCAAATACCTTTATAAAACAAGTCTTCCCAACTGTCCCGCTTTCAGCGAGACAGTCCTGATTTCAGGATCCTGTCCCAATGCCCAGCTCAAGTTCCCTGGTGCCCTGCATCTGGTGACACCAAGGAAAATACTGGTTCTAGTACTATGCTATACTTTGAAAAGTAGCTGTATTGTCTTGATTTGTAAAGACACTTTACCCCCTATGTAAGTGAGTACCACCCCTAGAACAAAAGTTGATTAAAGTACCTGTCAAGAGTAAATTACGTTATGCTCTAATAAAAGAGCGTAGAAAATCCTATTTACATTGTGCAAGCAAATGTATAGATTTTACATATATGGTCCCTGTTCTCACCTGTCAATCTATTCTTGTATGAGTCAGATTTCTGTCACAGCAACTACAGTGTGTGTACTGTAATTGCTGTGATAATCATCTGGTGAATTGGTCTTGTGTTTAGCAGAGAAATTCTGGAATGGACCCATTCTGATGCTGACATGCTGACAATGAAGACAGGTCAACGGAGCTTTGGGGAAACATGCTCTGCTTGAAGAAGTGTTTTTCAAGCAGAGCTAATAGCATTGTATTATTTTATTTATATATATTGTGGTTAAGAGACAATTATCTACATCATCTGGTCCCATCCCTTTATTAAGAGCCGAGCTTTAAGCGGTCTAAACTGTTTTCATGTCATTTAGCTCACATAGCTGTATATCCCAGCCATCAAAGGTATAACAACAGGATCATTCATTCTTCCAGTGCATGTACACCTATGCACACTGGTACACCAGCCTGAATAGGACGTAATGCTTCTACGGAAAATGTTCATCAAAGCTCAAAAGTCTGAGATAGTGAAGAAAAGCGTGACCTGCTTAACTGATCAAAGTGATAAAAACATAGAAGCACAACTTTAAAAATGCATTACATTATTAGATTCCTATATGTATTTAGTAATAAAAAGTGTGGATTGAATTTGTAAATCCACAAGATTCATATTTAATGTGTTTTGGATGTTTGCAACTAGATTTGCCAAAAGTTTCTTACTGATGACAAATTCTGTTAAGAAAGATTGTATTTCATATGCTACAGATTATGCTTACTTTAATGCATGTGTACCATGTTTTTTTTTTCTTTTTGTTTTTGTATACTACATACTAACCAATAACCCTTTAAGAAATGTGCACTATATGTCTGTTCAACCATAATTTACCTTTTATTATATTAAGTGCACCCATAATTATTATATATAATTTTATTCTGGAAAAAGGGACATTCATTTCACATCAAATGTTCATACATGAAACAAAATTTACTATGAATGAACTAAAACAAATAAAAAAAAGTGTAAGAAATTGTGTTATTTTCCAAGTTCTGCATGACATTTTAACGGTGAATGTCATAATACTGTTAGCTTTTAGTGCAATAAAACACATGTTTGTATGCTATAATGTCCCATGGGTACAAGACCACCGTGTAATGGTTTCATGGTGTTTTGGAAAGTTACAGGGTAAAATAAAGAGCTTACTCTTTTCAGTTTTTTCGCCATAGTTTGCTGGGTCTGTGTTGCCTTTGAGACAGTATGGCCAGAGGCGGCTCTAGACTTTATAAGGCCTTAGGCGAAACTCAAACAAAACTAACAA